GGCTTATTTTACTTGTGCAAGTTTCTTTGCAAACTCACAATGGATGATGTTCCTTTAAAAGCTACCAAAATGTTAATATTTTAAGATTCTCACTAATGCTAATGAAGCAAAAAACTTAGGATATGGCTAATCAAACTAAGTTTGTCGAGTACATTAAACTGGAGAAAGTTACTTCAGACTTTCATGGCCATTTTGAAATTACATTATCTACATGGAACCATCATTCAAAATATATTTACCCATAATGCTAGATTTTTTAACTAATAAAATGCAAATCTGTTTAAAATAATATTTACTGCCACACTCACCAATTCTGAATGTGAAACACCACCTTCAAACTCTAGGATGATGTTCTGGACTTCCCAATCCATATTCTGAAAGAAAAAGCATATTTAAACTTCAATTATATTAAAAAGATTATGTACAGTTACCATTCAATATTTAATTTCTGTTCCATCATTTCTACTTTGTTATGAACATATCCTCAAGTTAAACATAACTAACAAATCCATGCGGGTTCAAACCTACATCAAACTGCAGGAGCCATAAGTAAATAATTATCAAGGCACCAAACAAGGAATGCAGGAGCTAAGAGGCCAGTAGGCCTCCCAGTTACATTTCTTTTACCTTCTCATGGCAGTCAATTATGGTACATCTACAATCTTGTGACATTTGAACCCTCATAACACCCCTTTGAGATTTGTCGATTTCTTGCATCACTATTGTGCAATTTATAGACTAAAAACTTTGTGCCAAATATTTAAGAACCAAACTACTAACTGAAAGGTAAGCAAACCAATTAACATTAAATATTTGTTTATAAATATTCAACTACAGATTTTATTCCATGTAAGAATTTACACCATTTTACATTTTAAAATTTTGGTGCTATTCAAAGCAATTCCTGCAAGGACTAAACTTTGATATTGTACCCCACTTGTCAAGGCCTACAACTAGTTTTTATTTTCTCCATTTCAAGGCCCCTTCACCATTATTACATTTTCCTAAATATTTAAAAACTAGCTTTTAAACTAATTATATCAGTAAACTTACTTTTGCCCTCTAATTTAGACAACCATGCTACTTTCTGTAGCATGTAACTTCCGGCAGTTGTTCTATACACTGTTCCTGAACTTATGTTGGAAGGATCCTCCACAATCTGATAATGGAACATTAAATATGGTTAATAAAGTTTCTTTACACAGCAATTTGTTTTAAATTAAATATTTGCCTTTTTAAGACTAATAATTTAGCTAATCCCCCCCCAATCTTATAAATTATAGAACAAAGCCCTTTTAAGTAAAAATTAAAGCTACAACAATTATTTTAAAATAAAATTAGTTAACATTTCCCCCATAGTGGTACTACAATTAATTTATATACCTAAAACATTTCATTCAACATACCAGCTTCAGATGGGCAGAGCAGAACAGTCACGTTTCTTTAGCCAGTCAATGCTTTGATACCATTGTAATCATTGCCACCTGAAACACTTAACCAAATTAGCTTATAAATTCTGTATCGAGCTTATTTTACTTGTGCAAGTTTCTTTGCAAAATCACAATGGATAATGTTCCTTTAAAAGTCTACTAAAATGTTAATATTAACACTCGCTAATGCTAATCAAGCAAATAAACTAATATGGCTACTAAAACTAAGTTTGTTGAGTACATTAAACTTGAGAAAGTTACTTCAGACTTTCATGGCCATTTTGAAATTACATTATCTACATGCAACCATCATTCAGAATATATTTACCCAAAATGCCAGATTTAAATATAATGCAAATCTGTTTAAAATAATATTTACTACCACACACCTAATTCTGAATGTGAAGCAACCTTCAAACTCTAGGATGATGTTTGGGACTTCCCAATCCATATTCTGAAAGAAAAAGACTATTTAAACTTCAATTATATTAAAAATATGTACAGTTACCATTCAATATTTAATTTCTGTACCATCATTAATTTCTACTTTCAGTTATGAACATATCCTCTTAAGTTAAACATTTAGATGAACAAATCCATGAGTGTTCAAACCTACATCCAACTGCAGGAGCCATAAGTAAATAATTATCAAGGCACCTAACAATGAATGCAAGAGCCACAAGGCCAGTAGGCCTCCCAGTTCCAATTCTTTTACCTTCTCATGGCAGTCAATTATGGTACATCTGCAATCTTCTGACATTTGAATCCTCATAACAGCCCTTTGAGATTTGTTCATTTCTTGCATTACACTATTGTGCAATTTATAGATGAAAAACTTTTAGCCAAATAATTAAGAACCAAACTACTAACTGAACACTGAAAGGTAAGCAAACCAATTACCATTAAATATTTGTTTATAAATATTCAACTACAGATTTTATTCCATTTAAGAATTTACACCATTTTACATTTTAAAATTTCTTTATGCTATTCAAAGCAATTCCTGCAAGGACTAAACTTTGATATTGTACCCCACTTGTCAAGGCCTACAACTAGTTTTTATTTTCTCCATCTCCAGGCCCCTTCACCATTATTACATTTTTTACCTACAAATTTAAACTAGCTTTTAAACTAATTTTACCAGTAAACTTACTTTTGCCCTCTAATTGACAACCATGCTACTTTCTGTAGCATGTAACTTCCGGTAGTTCTTTACACTGTTCCTGAAGTTATGGTGGAAGGACCCTCCACAATCTGTCAATGGAACATCAAATATGGTTAATAAATTGCTGTGCAAAGAAATTTTTTTAAACTTAAATATTTGCCTTTTTTAAGACTAATAATTTTGCTACTTTCCCCCCCCACCATCTCAAATTATAGAACAAAGTCCTTTTAAGTAAAAATTAAAGCTACAAAAATTGTATTTTCAAATAAAATTTGTAGTTAAAATTCCCCCCCATAGTGGTACTACAATTAATTTATATAGCTAAAACATGTCATTCAACATACCAGCTTCAGATGGACAGTACAACAGTCACATTTCTTAAGCCAGTCAATGCTTTGATACCATTGTAATCATTACCACCTGAAACATTTAACCAAATTAGCTTGCAAATTCACAATGGATAATGTTCCATTGTGATTCCATTTGTTCATGGATAATGTTCCTTTAAAATCTACCAAAAATGTTAATATTGCAAGATTCTCACTAGTGCTAATCAATCACACAAATTGAGATGGCTATCTAGAAAATCTAGTACTGTATTACAACTACAATATTTGCCAAGACATTTATTCAATTTTCATACTTTAATGCAACAGGAATCTATCTTATCACAATGTGGAGCGGTGATTATTCCTTCAATCCTAGTCACCACACCATGGCTTACAACTACATCCAAGTGTAGATAAACTTTCACCACCTTGTTACTCAAACAAGGTTACCCAACCACTTGGGGTTGGACGGTAGAGCGACGGCCTCTATGCAGGTCTACGTTCAATCCACGACCGTCCAAGTGGTTAGACATCATTCCTTTCCCCCCCCACCCCCCCCCATCCCAAATCCTTATCCTGACCCCTTCCCAGTGCTGTATAGTCGTAATGACTATGAACTGTCGGGGGGGGGGGGGGGAAAGCGTAAACAAGGTCAACTGCCCATTGACACCCATATTTATAATCTAGTACCAAGGCAATTAGTCTCGAAACACAGATGATGCCAAGATCATGATTACATATTCCAAAACGGCCAAAAAGCTCTTTTTAACTAAAACCCAACAGGTCTCTTACCACGTTTCATCACTACAATACGTGAACAATTAACATGCATAAGGGGGGCCATACCCAAACTTTTGCTACTACCAACAATTTCATTTCAATACCAAGTACATTACAGGGGTCATTGCAGATGATACGTGTCCAACAGGTCATATTACCAAGTTCATGAAACAACTTATTTGCACGCCCAATCAAACCAATACGTAAGTATACAAATCCTTAAAATAATTACCATATAATCTAAAATCTCTGACCATGAAATGAAAAGTTGCAAGAATCTAGTAACAATGACATTCCATTCATCAATCCTACATTACAATAGGCAAAGCCTACAACCTATAAAATATTCCTAAAAATATCTAGGGGTTTTAGATGCAACACCCAAGGACCATACAAGCCTATGCTACAGTTTCCAATTTCATTTATTCCAATTATTTAATAAAACTAATTTTACAATTTTTCCAGGACCAAAGCTGGAATATGCAGCTCATGCTGCCAATCTCTTAGGAAAGAGTCAAAGATTTCCAATATGAAAAACTTTGTAGCATTGCCATAATTAAAACTAGATAATTACAAAAAATAGTAACCAAGTAAAGATTGAATTATTCAACTAAGTACATGTTATATCTGCACCTGGAACTACCAAGCCAATTCTAATTTTATCTAAATTTAAGGAAACATTAAATAATTACCTACTTTAGTAACTACACTTTGCCAAGTGAAATGTTAGATTATAATTTTTAACATCCAAAAAGGTCTGCACGATTTCATACACTACCCTCTGAGAAAGAACAATAATGGCAATTCATCACCAAGGTGCTTAGAACAAGACATTATGTATTATAGGAACTACAGCTTTCCCAAATATCATTTGCACCTACAATAAACTACACTGGATTGTACAGGTTGTTTAACAGTAATGAAGCAAAGCCTTTTTGAACATTTACAGTATATAAAATCAACCTACAGAGGCTTCAAGTTCTGAAAGAAACTTAATTCAAAAATATCCCAAAGTACACAAACCTACACTATAGAACCTTTAAGACAAAATTATATATATCAATACAAAGGTATCCAACATTGAAAAAAATTGTTACCAACAACCATTTTCACCAAACCACATGCTAGACGACAACCAAGCAACATTACCGGCTCCACCTTAGCACGTCTGAGCAACAAACTCATTACATCATTATTCAACTTTATATACCAAAACATTTATGGATGGGAAGCAGGTGTAGGGAATGAATTAAGAGATACCATAATGAGAAGTGGAAAAAGCTGATCGATTCTAAAGCCACAGGTGGACATTTTGATGCAAAGTTAACCCTTAGACTAAACAACTACCCATGATTCAACACTAAGGTTAACAAGTTTAAAACCTTCAAACTACAAATTTTTTTGGCATAATCAACTAGGCAAATGCTCCAACTGTCTAAATGATCAAAGCATAACTTAGAAAGATAATAAGATTTTATTCAAAACTTCACATTTTCAATTCCGAATAAATAATATGAACCATTATTAATTGTCCATTTAATGTTATTCTCAGAATAACATAAAGTTATAGTATAGTTTCTCGGTAAATTTTTTTGTAACAAATCTTCAAAAAATTGTATATTTTTAATGTGACTAATTAAAACGCCAATTTCATAACGCTAAAGAAAAAATCCATTCTGATGAGATTTTTATAACACAGCCAAGCACAATACATCAAGTTAGTGAGAATCTAAATTTTAAAATCCACTCAAGTGGAAACTCTGAAACTAGAGATAATGGAAGTTATCAACAATGAATAAAGGTGGTTCTAATTGGTTAATTTTACGTTTTAATAAACATGTTTTCCATTTGTACTATAGTGAAAGTTTTAGGTCTGCCAGTATTTAAGAATAAATACCCCCCCCCCCCCAAAGAAAATACTATAGGGATAATTATAATCTTAATGATTTAGGAGATAATTAGGGTATACTTTATACAAGTGAAAGCCCCAATATGGACTAACTATTAACCTAGAGATTTAAAGCAGATAAATATAAGAAACCAAAAAATTAAAAGTCCCAAGTTTTGCAAGGTGTAACCAATGTGTGTTTGGTAATTTCATTCTATCTTCACACTAATGAAAATTGCAGTCTCCAGGATGTCAAGGTTACAACAATCAAAAGCCAAAAATCTTTAAACAAAAAATCCATAAATATATTTTGGGAACAAATTATGGAAGCCACACTAACATTGGACAATGTCTGATATATAATAGATCTTAGGAACATTATTTGTGCTATGTATTACTCTATGATAAAGAGCAATTGCATATCCACTTTGTGGACATTACTATTGTTCTTTGAGCATAGGGCAGGTGCTTTCATCTATTTCTGCATAATCCTTCAGTTTCAGTTATTAGAAGCTATTCATAAAGAAAATTTCCAAAATTCATCTAAAATCAATCTTAAAATTTTTACAAAAGTTTCACAACACTTTAGCCAATAAGTTGGAGATTTAACATTGAAATTTTTTTTTTCCACAATTCTAAATATTTTCCACTACTACGATGCCTATATTTGCAGTAATATGCACAGTTTAAGGGTTAAGGAAACTTTCCATGAAGTGTGCCTCTAGACCAACCACAATTGGCACAGTAGAAAACTACCATCTGTTCCGGCCAACTTGATATCTGTAAAGTCAGATTCATTCACCATTTACATGAAATTTCAAAGTAGGTTCCCCCCCCCCCCCCCACACACAAAAAATTAAATACTGTATATAAAGGCTGTCATGCAAACTTTACTTCCCAAATTAAGTACTTTTATATCTTAAAATGGCTAAAAAATAAATGCCAAGTAACTAAAGCTTTTCACAACCTACCACACGAATGGCAAGGAAACAAAGCACATTAAATAACCATTACAATGGATAAGAAAAAAAAATTAAAGGGTCTTTCAAATTATTAAACGTGGCAGGAGATAACCCAATATTCTATTTTTGTCCCAACTGTCATAAGGATATTAACATTCATGTTTGAGTAAAGTGTAGGCTATGGAGGATTACAAACAAATGTACATGAACAAACAGTTTGACAACTGGCAAACTAATTTCCAAAATCAAAACCTTAACATGTGCAGCATAATCCATAAATGCCAAAAATATTACCTTTCAATAGATGAAGGACCAAGTCACAGTCCACCAATCAAAATTGCACTAGTGGGAGCTACAGTTTAAGAAATGAGAAAAAAAAAAATAAAAACTTGAGACTTTAGGAAAAAAAAGTTAATTTTACAACCCGATTAATCTCATTCACCCAACTAATACCAAAGTACTTGCTTCACTGATTTTATCCGCTTTAGAGGGTATTTAATACCAGCCAACAATTCATCATTAGTAAAAATTATACATTGCAAGCCAGACACTAATTAACCAATTTCTTTAAACTGAAAACCGATTATTTGGCAAAACATTGTCAAGACAACCAAGTTGAATTCAACATTGAATCTATGGTTTAAAGAGGACCACCACAATGCATAATAAAACTAGATGCTTTTTCACTATTATAATCCAACAGAACAGTCTACCCACTAAAGAATAATGCCAGACTATGCTGCTGTTTCAGATAAAGCTTTACAAAAAAGGAATGGAAGAGGGGGGGACAAACTGCCAGGGAAAGGGGGAAGGGAGGGCTTAAGATTGTCTCTACCTTTTCCATGTTAATGTAGACATCCCCCATAGGATCTGGGCGTCATCCACTACGACGTTTGCCAGAGTTGGTGCCAGCCGCTGGTTAGAAACGGTGCCATACCATGCCATATGCTACTTCAGGAAACTACTTCCTCACTTCGCCACAGGGAACATTGGCTCGGGAGCTTATCATGGTGGGAGGCAGTTGAAGACTTTCCAGTCGACACCCTGGGTTGGAGACGTGTAGCAGGTGAAGAATTTACCACCTGCAAATACAATTTAAAGAACAAGAACACGTAGTGAATTTTAGGAATTTAGAGTAAATTAATGCAGGACAAAGGAAGACAAACTGACCCGTTTTTAAAGATCACTTTTCAACTGTGCAGCAGAATGCAGTTTTTAACTGATAAATTACAGGTACTGCACTTCAGTATGGTAATTGCAAAGTATATTACATGACAATATACTCCGTAGGAAACACAAGTACAGTATGGAGATTATGTAAAGACCAGATTTTTAAAGCACAACCAAAGTTATAATTATATGATGCCATGCCATAATTTATTTTTACATTCCTCAAATCCAGGGATACCCTCATTATGCTTGTTAATATTAAAGCACTGTCCCACTTACATTTTTCCCTAAAGAGCCAAAAGAGGGAATACAAGCTGTTCCTGCTCCCTCCCGCCCTCTTTTTCAAGGCAAACTAGACTAAAATTACAGGCTGTATGCCTGCAAGTCAAAAATACAACACACACATGATAGCACAAGCAGCCCCATAGCTAAATGGGTAGAGTACACATCCAAACAAGGAGCCAGCCTACAAAAAGCAAACAGTTAACAAGTGGCCTATGCAACACTTTATGAAGACAGCCACCCAAGAGTTGGCATTGGCGTGAATAAAATGCATGCCAGCCCTGCCCAATTTTAAGTACCCATAAGCAATGGTGCCAGCCAACATTGGCAGAAGCCATGCACAATACTAACACTTAACTGCTAAGTGTCTTTTTACCCTTGGCTCCACACCCATATTCTACAACAATTTTACAGGCAAAACATTTTATAAAACTTTAATTATTGGGTCCTAACTTAATACAAGACCATCTTGTCTGCAGATTACACTTTTATAGTCATTGAGAGAGCCAGTGTCATCAAATTTTGGAGGACAAGAGGAACAGGAAATTAAAACATTTGAAGCAAGGGCTGCTGTAAACTAGATCAAGATTAAAGCTTTGGCGAGGAATACCCATTTAACTTTCCAGTTAACTGTAGCGAGTAATCTTTATACTCGCTCCATTATCTCTATTGCACAACTAATTAACACTAACTCTACAAGCTATAATCCTATTCCCAGTGACAGGTAACTTCTCGCATCCTGCTATCCTAGTAGAGAAAGGCGAGGGTGTAGTCACCAAATATAAGGAAGCAATACGAGAATAAACAGTACAATTTCCAGGCAAGAATGTAGCACTGCGTAGGCAGTTCTAATAGTCGCCAAGACGCTACAGCTTTGACACAGAACAGACTGACAGACAGACTGACTGCATCGAGCTATAACGCTCCCACAGAGCTCCACGACTCGTGGCCACACTTTGCTCCAAGCTCCGTCTCTGACTGCTGTATCCAGGACTAAAATGAAACTAAACACTAATCTACCCAACAACGTAACAATTGTACGTTACAACTAACTTTCAAAACTGGTTTTCGGTAATTGTCATGTACACTAACTAGTTAATAGACATACTTGCTCGTGATTAAAACTTCAGGCCTAAGCAGGTTAGAACACAAGAATGAAAGTAACTACAGAATGGTTGTTGGACCATGAGGTACCTATATCCACGCTGTCATTCATATACTGTACACTTAACCTAAGTTTGAAACGGTCAGGGGATCATATACTACATTTTTTTGCAGT